AATTGGAAAGTGCCAAAATCCAATGATGTAATTTCCAATTGGAAAGTGCCAAAATCCAATGATGTATTTTCCAATTGGACCCAATATGATTTTTTCCAATTGGAATGAATTGGCCATTTTGGTAAGGGGAAGCTCGACTGCGGTGTGAAGCACAGTGTCGCCTACCAAAATGCTTTCCGTCAGGTATCGCGCTATATGCTAGGCCCCCTGTAGGCCACTGTCTACTCATATATTGTCGCATCGTTGTTTACAATTTTAGATATCTTTGTTTTCTTATTTTGTTTCTAAAGACAATACCTAGCCTTCTCCTCTTTATGTAAAACGATGAGTAAGTAATTGCAAGGCCTAGGCTATACTTATACAGTAATTTATTGATCGTTTTTTTGAGTTATAGAAATAATTTTTATGCTAGGCCCTAGCCTACAGGCGGATAAAATATTCTGACAGCCGGCAATTTTTACCGGTTACCGGCTATTAACAACAACCCTGTAAATTAAGTTAGGCTAATCATGGGCGTGTTTGTAACAATATCAGGATAAACAATGTAATTATGCTGATGACATGGTTAAGCTTTTACCTTGTGTGAGTAGCCTTCAGAAATTGATACTTACCTGCCAGGAACTTGCACAAGAGCATGATATTATATACATGCAAAGAAATATGTGTGTATGGTTATTAGTCCAAACATTAGAAAATTGACTGGAGTTCCTAGTATTTATCTTTTGGAAAAGAAACTCAATTTTTTTTATTCATTTTTTGTACCTTGGGCATACTATTCCCAACAATAGATGAAAATTATATTAAAAGATCGCCCTATATGTATAAGAGGTAATGTTCTTCGTAGCAAATTAAAAAAATACTGTACTCTGGTGATGTCAGATGTTTATTATTTAAGAGTTACTGCGTCAATATGTACTGTGTCTCATTATGGGCAAGTTATAATGTATCTACTATTAGATCTTTTTATGTTTGCTATAATAATGCATTTAGAATGTTTTTGAAGTTAACCGCGCTTCTGCAGTGCTAGTGACATGTTTGTGTCTAGAAATACTCCCTGTTTATATAAATTTATTAGAAAATCCGTTTTCGAATTTAAAAGAAGGGTCACAACTAGTTGCAACAAGTTAGTTGATACTGTGTCACAGCACATTCTTAAAAGCTCCAAGCTTTATCTGAAATGGAATACCTTGTTGTAATAATGTTTTCTTTTCTTTTGTAATCATCTTATTGTAACTGGTAATTATAAGTACAGTATATGGATATATTTCCAAAATAAAAAGAGAATGAATGAATAAATGAATAACATTAGATATTCTGGATCAAAATATTTTTTATATTTTGCCCAAATCTATCGTTAACTCTGTTTCTAAGAAATATTTTTTTCCTAGCTGGATAGAACGTCTGCGCATTCACCTTCCTCATTCTACCACTCCTAACATTAACGGTGCCTATCATGTTGGCATAGCTTTTTGTTTAGCCTAGATTCCAGATGCTGAATTTGGGCTACTTATTTTATTATGATTTGTGTGCGTCATAACTAATTTAATTGGCTTCCCATACTTGAATTTCTCGTTTGTGACGCTGTGCGATATAAGAACAAAAGTATAATAAGGAACTTGCGGCAAGTTAAATTTTTGTTTTGCATCTTTGAATAACAATATTGAATTTGTAGGTCTTGGATAAACATTGGGTTTCTTGTGCAATGTGGCTGGATGAACGTTTGTCAAATAGTAGAATACACTAAGGCTAGCGACGGATTTTAATTGAGAAAAATCTATAAAAAATTAAACATCTATTAGTCCTACATACACCTATCAAAATAAAAATTATAAATGATTTGGCATTCAGTATAACTTTTCATTTTTTCTAACCTGGAAAGGGTTCTCATTATCTCCTTTAATTGCAATTCCATATCTAACAAATAGTTCAAGAAACTGCAGATCTCCCTCATCAATATAGTCTTTCACATTATAAATCTGAAACAAAATACATGAATAAATATTTTTTAGCAATCTAATAAACAATCAATTACAACATACATTAAAGGAATACCTGACATCAGTTTATCTGTTTATCTGCGGTGAATTATTCCGTTAAAAATATCAACATTGTTGTTCTTCATACAATGTGGTATATTTAATGATAGAAAGAAAATTTTCATCTGTTAGCGTTTAAAATTTCATCTTCTACAAATACAAATACAAATGGTCTTTTAGAAGGGTAAAATAGTATCAATATTTAAATTAGTTACAGGCAATTGTATTAACTTTTCAGAGTTTAAGGGGGGGGGGGGAGTTTTGGAATGCCTAATGTGTCTACTTTAGTCTGCAGGCTGTTTTGTTAGGAGGTGAAAACCAGTTCAAGATTCAAGATTCCATTTATTGTCATACATAAGCAAAGTACATGAAATTTGCCTTCCAGAGCGAGGAATACACAAAAATATACACACAGATAAAAATACAAGACAATTATAAAACTACAGTGCAAAAATATACAATAAATATATTACAGTCTAATGTAAAAGAGTTAAAAATAAAAGATATGACTATCTGGTGAATATTTTGTTAAATAGATGACAGCCATAAAGGCCAGTTCCCACTAAACGCGATCAAGCGAATTTCGCGTCGAAATGTGGCACGCACTGCTTAATCGAAGATGCGACTGGCGTTTCCAATGTGAACATGCAAAAGAATTTGTAGTCGAACACGCGAACGCCCAATATTCAAACATCGACGCGGTACGCGCGGTGGTCGCGGAGACTTCGCCTACGAATTCACAAGATTCAAGACCAACTTTTTCGAATTCGCGGACGATGGACCAATCGCAAGATTCAATTTATGTCAAAGGTCAACAATAAAGTCCCGACCTCCCGACCATTATCAAAACAAAAATAGTACAGATGTGCGCACGATGATCGACGAGTCCGTTATATGCAAATTCTGTGGAACAGTAGGCTATTCTTGTTTAGGTCTGTGACAAGGGAGCAAAGAAAATATGTGACAATGCGTGGAAAAGGATTTGCAGAGAGTTGAGTTATCTCCACTTCTACCAGTATTAGGCCAGCCCAGGTCTCTGATACCCTGCTACTACCTTAGACCTGTACAGTAGGCTAGGCTAGGCCAGGCCTACTATTTACCCTACTTAGGAGGCCTACAGCTCTAGTCCTTGAATAAATATGAACTTAAAAAAAACTATGTTGATATTCACTCTTTTGATTCATTATGGAGTTCTGGGAATGTTAACCCTGAGGATTTTATCTAATTTCATCTCTCACAGCCCTTTTCCTCCGTCTATCAATGCGATAACAAAATCACTTCTCTGTTGCCACCCGCCAATTTCGAGTTTTCGCGTGCGGTCAGCAGTAGGAACAGGCAAGCGAATCATTGAATGCGAGACATTCTTTACCGAGAGTCAACTCTTGTGAAATTTGCGCGATTCGCTTCGCTTGCCGCGTGACGCTCCACGCTTTCGCTTGACAAGTTGAGTGGGAACCGGCCTTAAGGCAAGAATGAGCTTTAACATCTGTTAGTTTTCACACAAGTTTGGCAAATCCTACCTGATCTATTGAAATTTATCTTATTTAGTGAATGAGTTTTGTCAGTGATAATTAAATCAAATTTTTTTAGCACATATTCGTCACACAGATCGTTTATACTTTCGACATTCTTGCCAACAATATTCTGTGATGGTTATTTTTCTTTGTTACACCTGGCAACCAGGCGATAGAACAGAAACATAAAATAGATTTGATGACACTTTGATAAAAAATAAAAAGTGTATCCTGGCCAACATTAAATTTGTAAAGCTTCCTAAGGAAGAAAAATCGTTGACTGGCTTTTGAGTACACAGATTGAGTATGTACTCTCCAATTAAGATTATCATCATCATCAATGATAATACCAAGATATTTATGCTCTGATGTTCTTTCGACAACTGAGCCATTAACTCTAAGTGAGTCAATTACACTATTCTTCCGGAAATCAAAGATCATTTCTTAAGTCTTCTTTAACGTTAAATGATAGATAATTACCTGAGCACCAATTTATTGCATGAGCAACTTCATTTCTATATGCTACCTCATCATTATTTGATATGAGACCTGTAATGCACACGTCATCGGCAAAACTTAACAATCTACATGAGGTATTAGTAGACCTTAAATCAATAGTGTAGATGGAAAAAAGGAGTGGCGACAAGACACATCCTTGTGGAGTCCTGTATTCGACATTATGAAGTTCGAAGCAGTACCGTTTAACTTAAATCTCTGTGTTCTATTACTAATGAAATTACTAACCCACAAAGACAGGTAAGTATGCACAATTCATACTTCTCAACTTATAACTTATTAAAACATGAACCTATACAGTATTATGCTGAGCTAAAGTCAATGAATAGTGTTCTGACATAGCATTTGGCTTGATCTAAGTGTTTATATTACATAGCTTAGGTAAATACGAGTATGTGATTGGTCGAAATGGCATCACTTGACTAGCGCTACGAGGATCGGAAACGTTATATTTCCCCATAGGGAAATATAACTTTGAAAAATGACCGGTCTCTGACGTCACCGGATTACACCCGCATTGCGCCCATAGTGAATGCTAGTCGAGCGCACGATCGATCGCTCAGGAATTGTGAATGTGTAAGCCTAGCGCTTCGAAAATGACGACTTCAAATAGGCCTAAGTTTAAATCTCTCGACGAAGACAAATTGGATAGAGTTATTGACGAAAAGGATTCTCGGTTTACAAAATTTGTTGTGAATTCATCCGTTAATGTAGGCCTACTCAGTGTATATTGTAAGGCCAAGGAATCATCAATTAGGCCTAGGCCTACTTGCATTGAAAATTTCACAGCAATGGAGCTCAACGTCTTTCTCCGGTCAATCTTCGCTGAGGTAAGGAGAGCAAACGGTGAATTGTACGCTAAACGATCGATCATAACGCTACGCTACGGACTACAGAAACATTTTTAAAAAGTGACAGTAATATGAAGTATTCCTAATATAACAGATATTGTGTAAAAGTTAAATAAAATTTCTTGATATTTTAAGTAATGTGTTCAGTTAATTATTTGCACCTATTTTTGGCTATAATATAACAGATATTGCCTTTTCTATCGGTTTAATAATAACATTTGATACCCCCTTGGGAATTATATTTTTTTTCTCAGGATTATATTTTCCCTCAGCGCTACGCGCTTTGGAAAACTAAGCAGGCAATATCTGTATAATATACAGGATGAAGCAGAGATATTAAGACGTCATCAACACATTTCTTAGCGCAATAAGCAAATTTATATGGATCAGAACATCTCTGTATTTGTTTAATCAGAGTATTTTTATTCAGTTTTTTCAAAGCATTTCATAGCGACTGAGGTCAAAGCTATTGGTATGTAATCGTTTAAGCATTTAGGTTTAGATATTTCATTTAATGGGGAGGTATTGGCAGATTTCCCAAAGGCTGGGGACACTGTAGCTGTTTAAAGACTATTTAATTCAAAAAGATGTGCAATGATTTGACCTATTTATTTAGAATATATTTTCAAAACTTTGCCTGATAATAAAGTCCAGGGTTTATACGTTTAAATAATTGTTCGAATTCTAATGCACAAATATCAAATTTTTCTAAGTCATCATTTTCATTTATATCCTTATTTAATAATAACCTGATAGCTTGTAACTCATTGCAAAAACAATATCATCAAAACTGTTACAAAAATTATTTAGATCATTTACAAATTCAGCAGAATCAATATTAGGTGGAAATAATATATCACCTTTCACATTGTTCCCAATGATTTTCTTTAAACCATTCCAAGCGCATTTTGGGTTACCACTTTTAAATTTGATTTTAATATATTTTCCAAACTTTCTTTTATCACGTTTAACCAGTTTGTCAATTTTACGTTGAATCTTTCTTTTCTCTTCTCTATTGTTCTCTTTAATCGCTTGTTTTTTTAATTTCAAAAGGTCTTTAATGCCCTTCGAAATCCATGGTTTTGAGTTTGAGTAAATCTTTATCTCCTTTACTTCAATTGTTAAGGGTTCACAAAATGAAATGTACTGTAGCTGCCAAAGCGGAATCCTCTAGTGTGGATTTATCAGTAAATGTGTCCCAATCAGTCATATCCATGCAGCATTTAAGTTTATTTACATTTTCCTCAGTCATAATTTAACTTTCTTGATTACAGGTTTCTGTTGTTTGAGTTTTTGTTTATAACATGGTAATAGGTGTATCAGGTCATTGTCTAACTTTCCCAAACCGGCTTTCACCTGTGTTTGTTCTGTATACATTTCTGATATTACCATAGCACTTGTCCGGTGTGTGATTTCCTCTTGTTGGAAAATTGATGTATTGCTGGTATCGTGGTAAGACTCCTCTGATGTCAGTTTGATTAAAATCTCCCATGATTAACTTGAATGCGTCTGGTGAACTAGTCAGACTCCAGATCATTACAGACATTATACAGTACGGATGTGGCTTCTTTTGCATTAGCTTTTGGATGAATATACTGTATACAATCGTAACAAATATTTGATTTCTCTGAGTAAGTAGAATGGCCGTAAAGAGACAAGAAGTTCAATATCTGGTGTACATAGACGTTTTTTAACAGTAATCTTCTGGCACCATCTTTTATTCATAGATGCGTACTCTTAGTTTCACTTTACGCAAATGTTGACGACGATTATTACAATCACAATTAAATACATAAAAAAATACAATGTACTGTGCCTATAGATAATCAATTGACAAATGCTAATATACTGTAAGCCCTACTTTCTTTTGTGTGTTGATGTATTTGGGATGATGGTAAGGCAAATAAAGAAGTAAAGGAGATTAACATTGAAAATCACGGATATAAATGCTCTCAATATGCAGGTGACATATCATTTTAACAAGCTCATCAGAACAATCAATGTTTGAAACTTTATATGAATTAGATAAATTTGCCTCGATATATCTTGCTTAAAATGTAATATTAACAAAGAAAAACGTTGTGGGTACATACAGATTTAGACAATAAACTATTTATTGGGCAAAATCATTTGTAACTAGAGTAAAAAATAACTCTAGTTACATTGACTTTGGTATTGTAACACATTTTAAGAATGTTTTAAAAACGTTCAAAGACATCAAATTAACGTTATAATGACGTTTCTGAATGTTGGATTAAAACGTCATTAAAACGCTCTAAAAACTCCACATAAATACGTTTTTAAAACGTTATACTGAAACGTTTTACAACCGTGAATAAAGAAACCCTTTGTAAACTTTTTAAAAAGTGATACAAGACCAAAGTCGATGTAACCAGGGTTACTTTTACGTTATAATGACATTTTTAAATTAAAACGTTACATTAAAACGTTATCAAAACGCTTTCAAAATTCCATACAATTACGTTTTTAAAAGGTTTTATTCAAACGTTTTTTGAACCAAATTTATACGTTATTAAAGGTTTTTTAACGTAAAATTGTTAGCTGGGATGATGTTCATTGTAATACTACAAAACAAAATCATCAATTTAAAAATAAAATTTGTGAACATACTTGCCTTATATCTTAACTGGCAGGTGATTTTATTGGTAGATTAGTTTGTTTTTAAGCGTGTAAGTGTAGTGTTTATAAAACAAATTGGACTGACATAAAGTTTTATAGAACTGTATTTTCAACAACATCAAACACATGTGCATCCAAGATGGCTGTTCTATTTGAATAACGCCCTCAATATAGTAAGCTATTAACAATAGAGGGCAGCAGACCAGATTAGTATTTTATCAGAATGGTGATTATTATGTTATTAACAAATGTTTAACATTACATCCCTCCCCAATTAGTTAAAATTTTCAAGGTAATTGTTTTCAACAAATACGTTCTGAAAACAAGATTATATTTATTACTAAATGTTTTCTATTGTAAATTTTTTAATAAATAAAAATCAGAACAAATAATTTTTATTGTCCTTTGTTTTCTTTGTGACATGTCCACATTAACATAATATTTCTAATTTTCACATTTCAGAGATCAGTCTCTTAGGTGCTCGAACATTTCTACGAGATCGTCTTGTAACATTTAAGTCATTTGGTGTTTCAATGTCTGTAGTTTCTATCTCTAGAGGAATTATTTCACTCTCTGGGGATTTGTCACAGTTAATATCAACTCGCTTTAACGAACATTTTTTTGTCAACGATCCGTTTTCACCTTTTGCTTTTACACAATTTCCTTTCCTTGTATAGCTTCCATCCCATTAAAGACGAATTATACGGAGTACAGTAGATAGCATATTCTGCTTTTTCTGTTTTAGAATGACAGTGTCTCCAACCTTAATGTTAGATTTACGTGTATTCAATGACTTATCTGCGTTGTCTTTGATTTTCTGTTTCACCTTAGAATCACGTTCACGCAGTGCTTGATCATCGCTTTTGTTTTCCACTTCGGGAAGTGTTGTGGTCATTTTCTTCCATATATTAGTTCAAAAAGGGGTTTGTTGGTAGTCGTATGCGGTGTCGCACCATACTGACAGATAATCTACTGGGTTGGTTGTTGACACCTTTTATGTGTTTGAGTACAAAGTTATACTCCCATTATAGACCCATAACTCAATTCTAGCATTTGCTTTACTATGAGAGTAGTTGAATATTGATACCAACAGTTTGTGGTCTGTGTGCACTTCGAATTGGTTGCCAAATAGACAGACTCAGAACTGCTCAACGCCGAATTTAATGGCCATATGCTACCATAGCTCTGCTGGCATATGCTACCACTTTTCCATCTTGACACAACATAGCAGAGACTCCGAATTAACTTGCATCTACTATTAACACAGACGATTTGGTTGCATCATAGTATGTTATAGTCATTTCACTGGTCAAAACACTTTTTAATTTATCGAACACCTGGGTGCAATCATAAGACCATACGAATGGAACCTCTTTTTTGCGAGTTCTCTTAACGGTGCGGTTATTGATGCATAGTCTGGTATGAATCGAGAGACGTACTGCATTAGTCCCAAAAATGAGCGGACTTCACTTGTGTTACATAATAATAGTGTAGTTTTATGTAGCGCACATATCCATCTAATGTAAGATGCTTAGGGCGCTTGAAATGTGGACTAGGAACTCGACCAATGGTATGGTAGTACATGGTATTTTAGTTTCGTTAATGTCTTTAATCTTTGTTGGATCTGGACTGACTCCCTTTGCTGAGAACACATGACCGAAGTAGGCCCCTTTTGTTGCTTTCTGGACTGCTTTGTCCAACGTTAGTTTGGATTCAGCTAACAGACGTTTTTGTATTTGTGAATTTATTAGGTCACATACAAGTCTGTCTCAACGTTTCTGTGAGAGTAGTGCCAAAATCACAAGGTGCTGACAGGCGCTGAAGCTCAGCCAGGTACCCAGAGATGGTCTCTCCTGCCCACTGGTCACATTTGTGAAAAGGGAAACGTTCTGCAATTATTAATGGTTTAGGTGCAAAATAATAGTTTAATTTACCTTTCACTTGATCATACGACAGCGCAGAAGGCAGGCTCACATAAGTTTCTGAGCAGCTGATCGGTGGACTGTCCTACTACAGTAATCAACGTTGCATACACGCTTATCATTGTTCATATCGTTAGCTGCAACGTAGGCCTTAAATATTTCTAGATAAGACGACCACTCTAAAGCTTCATCCGAAAAAAACGACATGTTGTGGGAACTGTATCGAACTTGTCGCCAAAAAGATGTAGTATTTATAAAACAGGTTGTAATGATATAATCTAGAAGTTTTATAGATCTTTATTTTCAACAACATCAAACACATGTGCATCTAAGATGGCTGTTCTATTTGAATAACACCCTCAATGTAATAAGTTAGTAACAATAGGGGGCGGCAGACCAGATTAGTATTTTATCAGAATGGTGATTATTATATTACTGTATAAACAAATGTTCAACAACATTACAGTAAGTATGAATGATTTGCATGCCAAGTGAAATTAGTACCCTTGTTTTGCTTTGTTTTATCGTACCGTAATTCTCGGCTAGGCCTAGCTGTACGCCTAGCCGATACGCAGTGTGGTTAAGGAAAGTTGTTTTTTTTCTGAAAATGTGCAGATTGTGCTTATTATGGCTCATTAGCATAACAATACCCCACCACACATAAGGCTAATTCAAGTTAGACGGCTTAAACCAGCCAGCTTCTTCCTCTGGTAACCGTTAAAAGTCCTTGCTCTAATAAACGTCGCAAACGCGATGATACTAATCCGATGTTTATTTCATGATAATTTATTTCTATATTATTGATGTTGTCTTTCGAAGGTAGGTGTTATTGTCTATAATTCCTAGCATAGTTAGGAATTCCTAGCATTAGTTGGGAGTTTCAATTTTCGGGGTCTGATATTTTAAATGTGTCTGACATAGCTTAGCTTTCGAGGTCTGAGCTTTCGGGACACGCACCCGTCCGTAATAAATCTTTTTTTTTTTCCTTTTTTTTTTTGAAAGTATATGACAAAGATACGCTCTTGACCCTAATTTGCTCCTACGAAATTAGCAATTTCAGTATTTCTTTTTCTGTAAATTTTGTATTTTTCTGTTTTCGTTGAATTTATCATTTAGTTGAAATCATGAAAGGTGGCATGGTAGTCAGATATCCAAGAAATATCATCATAATAAATAAATGTTTAATGTAAAATTATGTATCTGATATTGTTAATATGTCATATTGATATATGTGCAAGGTATACAGGGAGAGGATGGGAGTCTCCTTGTGGTACTCCAATGTTAGCTTTATCACCTAACATTCATTCTAACTTTAACTTTTACTTGTAAGTTTTCTGAAAGCAAAGACTGCTCTTTAAATGATGCCTGAGAGGATGGTATCATATTCCTAATCTTGTAATATATACTAGGCAGATGGCTATTTTTTTTTTTGCTTGATACTATTTAGGACTGGTCAAAATTCTTTTTTCTAATTCTTTAAGTGGTTTTTGGAATGAAACTCTAATGCTCCCGCCAATATCATGTAAAATTTTACCTGATCTGGCCATCTCATTGAATATAGTTGCAATAGTATTGCAAATTTAATTTAATTATGTAGTAGAAATCTTTTATTTCTAGTTCAATGATGAATGCCTAAATTGTTACCAAATCCTTAACCTCTTAAACATCTCTGAAAATGTTATATATCCCACATAAGAGGCTCGCCATCCCAAACTAAAAAGAGAATATGAATATGTTTAAAAGTAACTTTTTTGGCCACTGATACTAATATTACATCCTGCCCTCATTGGTTAATATGAACATTAAGAATTCTTAAATTTTTGCCAGTAACCTACCTGTATTGAGCTCAATATTGCACTAAGTGCAAACACTGCTGCATTATGCTTTTGGCTGGTTTTGGGATCCTGCGTTCCTTGAGTATCCATCAATATTACTCCAACCTAAAAATTAACGCAAAATAAAATCTTAACAAATATAATGACATTAATTTATTTATACGTTTAACTGTTAAAAAAAAAGCCCCTCACCTGGCAGCTTGCCTTAAAAACACATATTATAAGGTTTGATGTGAATCACCTTTTTAATGCTTTTCCTAATCTTTCCTAGTCCTCTCCTGTCTTTACTCATAGTTACTACTAATGTTCAATGTTGTATAAAACCAATGATGACGAACGCAATACCATACCATAGAGTTATAGTAGCAATTTTTACATTGTATTGGGAAGGTGCCACTGACAGTGGCAGCCAGCCGAATTATCTTTCCCATGATTGTCAATGCCACTTAATTTGCTAGAGTTGATCAGTAAGACTTTATTTAAAACAAAATTTCAGCCATAGTTCATCTTTTAGTTATAGTTAAGTTCATCCTCGACATAGCAAAACACAGCAACTTATTCCTCCATGGTACAACCAATGTAAGAAAAATAAGTTGTCCCCTTGTGATTTTCTTTCTCAAATTATGATCCCTGGAATATTATCAATTTATGGGGTCTACGCAGAGTGAAATAATATATAGGCCGTAATTACAGAAACAAATGAAAACAATTCAATGGCTTATTATACTACTAGTACAGTACTGTACTACAACACTGTACATAGTCTGTGGATTTTCCAACCTTAATCCCATGAACAAATTATTTTACTGGAAGAGAAAATAGGCCTAATAAATTTAAATTCCAGCTTTTATTACAACATAACTGCTGAAGATTTATTTTCTTTTTAGTGTTCCACAAAATTGCCGGCTATATCACACCAAAGAAAAAGGGAACGAGTTTAATTTAAATGAATATGTTAACTTTCCAATGTCTTTATTGCAATTTGTAAATAACAATTATAGGTCTATTTAGTGCAGATTTTTCAGTAGCCTAGGGCCAGATTCTGCATTGGCCTATGCCTAAAGGCCTACACAGTGGCAGCCCTAGGATATATTTTCTGGGGTGGGGGGGCTAAGATGTCCGACAGGGGGCTTGAGCTTGTAGGCCTATGCCTGAGGAGGGGGTTTTGGAGATGAGATATTGTTTTAATAGGGAACTCTGGATGACCGGAATGGCACTCTACGACTGTGAAAGACACTTTTTGGCTTGGTGTAGGCCTATATTAATTTTTTTTTATTCGACTGCTCGACGAGGTCGGCCGGAGCCCTTGACTTGTCCGATAGGGCTGGGGGACTAAGGCCCATTGTTCCCTGGCCCACGCAAGCGCCGCCACTGCCAGACAGAATGCTGCAGGTTGCTGGAAGCACTAGTGTTGGACTATGTCTTGGCTAGGCCTCAGACTATTGAAGAGGCCTCGTTCCTAGCGCAGACTTAGATGGGCCAGACCTACACGATCGTCCATACTTTGGGCCCATCGTCTGGAAATGAACTCGATGTTTCATGGGCCCTGATTGTCCGTTAGCCAGTAAAATCCATTTTGGCACAAAAATCTAGCTAGATTACATAGCAAACTGTACTGTATCAGTATATCAAAATGAAATCAATCTAAGAAACACTGTGAAAATGTCATTAATTATACTACGGATTAACGTTCATTAATATGATTAAAATTTTAAGAATCGTAAATAAATCGAGGTCGGAGTAAAGTAAATCCCTACAAATTGGACATACACATAGCGTAGATGTGAAACGTACCGCTTCCAACCACGTGGTGTTCCAGATTTTCATTGCATATGTCAATAGACTATGTAAAATTATAGAACAAGGTATAAAACATAAATACATTTAAACTGAAAATATATAAATATATAAGTCTACACACAATGAAAAAAAACCCCTATATTATTTGGTATTGGAAATAATACACTTTTGCCACTTATGCATGGGCGTCGATCGTTGGGAGACAGAGGGGACGCGTCTCCCCACTTTTCAAAGTGGGGGGGGGGGAGGGAGGACATCATATCTTTTGTCCCCCCCCCCACTTTTCACTAATCTTCTTTAATTAAAACCCCACTTTTAAAAGCGAATGGAAAGAATAACAATTACGCACGACTCATGAATTTTGTCTGTTCACTTTTCTAAGTGCGGTACGTATTTTCCGGACCAAAACCGAGTAAAAACGCAATTGCTCAAACATTTCGTAACCATCTCAGAAACCCACTAGATCGATTTTATGGGTGCTATCAGAGGCTAAATTTATTGTGAAAACAATGTACTGAACGTTGTTAAAATTGGAAGCATGTATCTTTATTAGGCCAATATTTTTGCAAAGTGCACAATTTCTACTATAAACGATTTATTCTTTTTGTATATTATTATGACCGTACATATATACTAGTGTTTAATATTATCTACATACATAGGATTACTGTTTTTTTCTAATTTCAGCCTTTAACACGAATATGATGTCTACCTATTTCGATTAAGTAATAATCCTACCAAAAGTTTACAAACTCCAGTGTTGCGTTGACGCAGTCTCGCAATGACGCCATAATAATCAGTGGCAGATTGAAGTGGGGCCGAGCCGACCCTTATTTTTAAAAAATGGGAAAAAAAAAAACAAAGGAAAATTATAATTAGAATTTAAGTCTGAGAGTGCCATTTCCGGCAATCTAGAGGTGTCATAATCATAAATTTTCTTTCTTCAGCCCCAACCATGGTGGGGCTGAGGTGATCTACTTTCCCAACGTGCAAGTCCCTCCCTGTCCCCCCTCTAATTTGCTTTCCTGGAGCCGCCACTGATAAGGATAAATTAAGTAAATCACCTTTATGTTGTGAAATATTAAATGCTAACTAAATGTTTTGTGTGCTCCCTATTTCCCTAGTCCTGTTTGATCGTAAATTAGACGGTATCATTTCCACTCACAATAATTTATCGCAACATTACTTACACAAAAGTGAAATTCAAAAAGAGTAGAAAAGCAAAAACCTCTTGATAGATTTTAAAACTACTGTAGGCCTACATGCAAAAAGACTAAATTAATGACTGTTTTAAGTTTATCTTATTTGTTTTTCATAGTTCGAATTTTGGATACGTTACAAGCTAATCAGTAGATAATAAATCATTATTTTTATGAATGTTAGTTTGCACGAAATATATAAGCGGGCATAATTATGACTAAAAAGGACAATTTTAAAAACTTTTTATGAGTATTTCAGTGGCAGATTCAAGGGGCCCAGCCGGCCCACCATTACTTTTTTTTTTTTTTTCGAAATTTAAAAGTGGAGAAAAATCAAAATTATATTCAAATTCAGTCTGAGAGTGCCATTTCCGACCAACTGGAGATGCCATAATCATAAATTTTCTTACTTCAGCCCCAACCATGGTGGGGCTGAGGTGGTAGTCCAGCTACACTCTCCATCTGTAAAAGTCCCTCTCTGGGCCCAGCTCTATTTCAAATTACTGGATCCGCCACTGGATATTTTAAAAATTTTATATGGAAATAAATGTTAATTGCATTGCTTAAAATCAATTAAAAGGCTATATTATGAGCCAGAGCTTCCGGGGCTTCGCCCCCTGGTCCCCAACCATTGCTTGGGCCTACGGCCCAAGGCTATTTTTCATCTTGTCCCCCCCCCACTTTCAGCCACAGATCGACGCCCTTGCACAAATGTAAATGGTATATTAAAAATAAATAAAGTTAATGGAAATTGCGAGTAAGAACAAATAATGACGCTTTCGGCCACCCCCCCCCCCTTTTGGACACTCTGGATCCGCCCCTGGTGATGATTATTTTAGTTGATATTATTAATGGCGATTTTATGGGGAGAAGTGCTTGCGCAGTGGACCGTATAATCATGGAGGTAGAATGTTATGATGATGGATGTTAGTTTTAGTAAAATTCATTACAAATAGAAAAAGAACAAAATTTACTTAAATTTTAGGATAAGCGTAAGTTTTGCCGGTGTTTGCATATTAACACCGTAAGATTTTATTTGAGTGCGTAATACTTACGGCGAATGCGTAAGGGTTGACAGGTCTGGAGAGCCAACTAAAATTGTGTAATGACTGAACTCTAGCTATATTGGTATGATCATTGGTAATCATTTAACTATGCTTAAAACTCTGAATCATATTAAATAGTGCCGTCTTCGCGCCTCTGTAGATTAGAACTTTTTACCAAAGAGTATAAAACTGCAAGACGTCCGACTTCCCTGATTTTGTACCTTGAGTGGATTCCCGCGACATTAAAAATCGTAACGGTACTGGGTTTGGTCTATAATTAAAATATTTGTTTCCTTTTTTCTTTTTCCTTTTTTTTTTTATTTGTTTTATTTCAAATGCTATGTTTTGTGGGCCTAATTAAGTAATTAACTGCATAAATTAAATATATACTAAAAACAGCTAAAGTAATTAAAATTACGGCCATTTTCGATTTGAATTTTGCAAATTTCAGGTAAAATATTATTTTACATTTAATGTCACTTATGCGAAAAAGAAATATTCAGTATATTGGCATATTTTAATGTCATAAAAGTACAATTATTGGTAATAAAATGTTTTAAAAAGGCGGCCATTTTAAAATTGCGCTTAAAAAAAAATATGGTACATACTTTTTAAAATTTTTTCTATATAAACTTTCATTTTGCTACAATTCGTACCTCACTAAAATGTCAATGAATTTAATATATTGCTAAATTGTAGTTAAACTCTATCCATAGAGGCTAATGTTATTTAATGTAAGCACTTCTAGTTGAACGTTACCAACAACACTAAGCTTGAAATAGAGATGAATTATAAAAACTAACATTACCACCGTCTCTATTACGATCATTTCTGATTATGACGTTGCCTGGAACATGAATTTCCTGATCAATAAAAGGAAATCAAAGCCGAATATGATAATTTATATATATAAACAGCTTATGTTTAAGTGTGCGATTATTAATTCGTTTAGTGATTTTTTTTTCAGAATTAGTTGAATGACAGTATGAATATCGATATTGCTATCATATTACAATTAATAATATTTTATTATTAATAATAACACATTATTATTAACACT